GAAATTCCCAGAACAGGCAAACTGAGAGACAGAAAGCAGATTTGAAGTCAGCAAAGGCAGGGCCAGGGGAGAATAGGATAGTACTGCTTAATGCTTACAGAACTTCTGTTGGGAATAATGGAAAACTGTAAAAATAGTGGTGATGGTTGTACAATGTTGTGAATGCAATTAAAGCCAGTGAATTGCATATTTAAAATGATTAAGAGGGCTGGGGCTGTAGCTCAGTGGCAGAGCACTTCTCTATGATGCGTGAGGCACGGGGTTCGATCCTCAGCACCACATAAAAATAAACAAATAAAATAAAGGTATGCTGGTCATCTACAACTACAAAAAAATTTAAAAAATAAATAAAATGATTAAGACAGCAAATTCTAGGCTTTCTTTATATTTATCACAACTTAAAAATGAACAACTTAATATAATATACTAGAAACCATCAAATTGCACAATTTAAATGAGAAAATTGGGTGGCTTATGAGTTTTTTAAGGAAACCTTTGTAAGCACAGGGGTGTAACTGGATACAAGAAACAGCTTCTAATGTCCTGGAGCACCAAGGGATAACTATGGTTGATAACAATTAATTGCATATTTCAAAATAGCTCGTAAGAAGGGATTTTGAGCCTTCCTAACACAAGGAAATAATAAATTTTGGTGGAAATGGATACTGAAATTTTATACCCCATAATGGACACTGAAATGGACACTGAAATTTTATACCCCATAAATATGTACAATTATGCATCAAAAACATTTCAAGGTTTTTATGTATTAAGGGGAAAAAAATCCATCCCTTAGCATATTACTTTGTTACCCTGTAAGACTATGAAAATTGTCACAGAAATTTACCAAATCTGTCAGGAGAGTATAGGATAGGAAAGAAAACGCTGGATTAAAAGTCTGGGAATTGAACGGGGCCCTGCTCTGCCACCACACTGGCCAGGGTTCTGGAGGATTATTTACTAATCGACTTCCCTGGCCTTGTTTCCTCACCCACAAAACAAAGGAGCAGAGTCAGGTGTTCACTTTTTGAAACACTATGACTCACACTTCTTACAGAATCCCAGGTTTTACAAATAATCGCTAATCCTTCAGCAGTTGCAAACACTGAACAGCTTCCTATCTTTGGAATACCTGGTTATATGATTAATCTATTCTCTTGCAAGGAATACTTATCCGACTATTTAAAAAATAATTTCCTGGCGTAATTCTTCCTGAGCACAGTCAGTTAGCCTGAAAAATATGTTTGGAAGCCACCATCACAGCACAATGAATGACAGCATTTAATTTTTATACCTCTTGAAAGTAGATCAGTGCATACACTATCTAGAAAAAACTGGCTGGAAAGTCTCAGCTTTCAGTACATGTCGGTTGGACTGAAAGAGGAAACTCACAGGGCTCTGGGTCAGAGAAAAGCATCTCCAGGGGCAGCCAGCCAGCTCCCAGAGCCCCTGGGAGCTTTTTCCTCCTGGGCCCCATCTTGCTTGATCACTGGCTCTGCTTCTCCCAAGGGTCAGTCACCAAGACCAGAGTCCCCTTCTAAGTCAGTATTGTTAAGAAGTTCAAGGTCCAGACAGAGAGAACGAGGTCAGGTATTACAAAAAGTATTTCATTCTAATAAAAATTAATTTCAGGAAGGATGCAAAAACATTTTGAATCAAGTTCACAGGAGAGCAGCACATCTGTCAGAGTTCTATTGTTGCCTCAAAACAATAGTGACAAAATGGAAAATAAACTCATCGGTGGGGGAAACCCAGAAGCTAACTCCTTTTCCCAGTTCCCTACCAGAGGAAATAAAGTGAGGTGATTTAGACAAAAAATTGCCAGAACCCAGCACACCTTCAAATGTAAACACCACTGAACAAGGATTCCATTCAGACACACGCTTTGGAAGGAACAAAAAAAAAAAAGACAAAAATAATTGTCTTTTACTGTGTGACTATTGAAGACACCTACATCTTTGATGAGAAAAGAAAATAAACCTCCCACAAGTGAGTTAGCCTTGATTTATAATAAAATCCCAGGAGAGAAAACAAAAACAAAACAAAACAAAAAAACTCCTCTAGATTTATCAATTCTCTTTGGGGTGGTGCGTGTGTGTTGGGGAGGGGGGGTAGCTTGTACGCTCACCATCACCTTCCTGAATCCTTCAAAAAATATCAATCACTCATATCAAAGTGTCACTACATACCCTGAATCCGAATTCCACCTTGCCTCTGTGGGATCTGGAGTTTTGATTCAGCCCTTCGAGGGGAGCTTCGGTTCCTCCACCCTCTGACCAGAGTGCCCACCATGGTGGTCGACAGCATGCTCCTCTTGGAGCAGAGGTCCTGCTGGGGGTGGTGGCAGCCTCCTCAGGCTGCCACCAGTGGGAAGATCCTGTCCCTGAAGGTGCTCCACCCTAGGCAGACAGGCCCAGGCAGTTCCTCCCGCTTCCATCCTCCACCCACATCTCATCCTTGTGGTGCTGTGAGACCTCCCCAAGGAGGCCCAGGGAAAGTCTGGCAGATGAGATCAGAAAAAATAGACAACAGCAAAAATAAAGAGAAGGGTCAGGAATAGAGGCCATCAGGAGAAGAGGAGGGTCAGTCTTACAGAAGTGCCAATCTCCTTTATAGGAGGAATTGGTTTTGATTCCTTGATTTTATTTAAAGCAGCCTAATTTTTCAGTATTCAGAAATGACGGTGAGAGGTGGGCTGGGGTCCTTATCCATGAGCCTATTTGTCTTTGCTCAGAACGATCCTCTCTTGCACTGGAACCATCTTCAAGTAATTGTTTTAACAGAAGGAACCATTCTTCTACACAAACAGAATTTGTTTACAAGACATGAAAGGTATTTCTAATGTTCTGAGTGTTCACTTCGAAAGTTCTATTGGCTTCTGAGGATGAGGAAAGTTGGTTAATACATTTAATAAAAATTTACAACCATGTAAACTCCCAAAGCTTTTTAAAAACTGAATTGCTTCCAAAGGTCTAATTATCCCTCCTGCCTGGCTAACTGGGGTAGCAGCAAATGCAGAGGGTGGCTTCCCAGGGGCACCCATGCAGCACACTGCTCACAGATGCCCCCTACCGGTCAAGAAGCCAGGTGCACACTGGTGAGAGACCAAGAAGTACATCACAGTTGTGGGAGTGCAGTTAGTTCTAGAGAGTTCTTGAATCCCTTGATGCATTCTGTCTAGGTGATGGAGACTAAGAGTGAATTAACTACAGGCAACCCAAGAGGTTTCTGCATTTACTGTCATTGTGACTTTTATGATTACACAGATAGAATGGTCCATACCGGATTTCGCCCTTTTTTTCCTCCCTTCTGAAAGAAACAGGCAAATTCTCCAAATCCCCTAAAATTGATCACATTTTATAAAAGGCTAAAGTATACTTAAAAACAGGGCTTTGAGGACACTCACTTTACATAGGCACTTTACCTATTTATTTGTTTGACATTTCCTTTTTTATTTTTGATCCTTGTAGATAGAGGGGAAGTTAAAATAGGATGGGGATTTAAAGGAAGCTGTGGGCTCTGTTTCTTCACACCCCAACCTCAGGCTGAGATTCAGGCTGTGCACAATCCTGGAGGGGCAGCATTTGAGGGGAGGTACAAGCTCTGCTCCTCTTTGTGGGACTCATCTCCTTCCCTTTGGAAGTGGTGTCTCCCCTTTTCATGGACAGATCCTTCTGCCACAGAGGAATGAGATGAGCTCTGAGGAGGTGAGGGAAAATCTGCTCATGAGGCAATGCTACCTACCTTTTAGGGGGAAAGGGCAAAGACGCCTCCAACAGTCTCAGTTTCCTGTCACACCCAGAGTCACAAAGACAGGCTGGACCAGCCTTCTGCTGGAGCCACTCCCTGCAGGAGTTGGGCGGCATCCAGAGAAGGAGGGCAACAGAGTCAGGATGGGGAGCAACAGAGATCCTAGGTATAGCTGGCCCAATGTCACCCCAGGGGACAGGATCAGAAGGCAGGAACTCGAATGTGCATCTACCTAGAATCTCTTTGAACTTTGTGTCCAACTTTAGGAGGTGGAATGGGCTGGGAATGGGAGCTGATGGGTTCTAGGAGAGGGACTCTCAAGACTGTCAGAAGCCACCTTCAGCCCCTCCCCAGGGTAAGGTTGCAGAGAAAACCCAGTGAGTTGGAGCTGAAGGATCAGGTATTGAGGCTGTGAAGAACTAGTAACTCTGCCCATGGGGTCCTTCTTGGAGGTCTTGACCATTTTTGCTGCCATATATATCTGAGAGCCCCCACCCCCCCGCCAAGGCGCTAATCAGAAATGCAAGGTGAGAGGCATAAGGCTTGTAGACAGAGCCATAATGGAAGTACAGCCAACTGCTCAAATTTAGACACTGAGAGCCTGCAGAGCCACTGTTAATGGTCGCCAAGGGATTTTGAAAGCATGTGAGGAAGGAGGCAAATGGAGTCAGCGGGTGCTTCAGATACAATTCCCAGTCCTCATGGGTTTCCTACCAAGCATGTGCTCTCAGTGTTCCCTGTGTGCCCATGACAGCACTTCTCACACTCTGCTGCCACCACTGCTCTCTGTTAAGCTCATCCCACTCAACCAGCAATCCCCCAGCCTCACTGGGCATCAGAAACACCTTACTGAACACAAGGCTGGCCTGAGATGGCATCTTCACCCAGTCCAAGATGGCGCAGGGAGTCTACATGTTCTAAAGCTTCACATTTTCGGACATTGCCAGCCTGGCTTCTATCTGAGGATGGTATTACAGACACCAATTTACTAGATGGGGCTCCTTGAAGCCAGGAACCATGGCCTTTATCATCATTGTGTCCAGTACAGCTTATATAGCCAGCATCAATGCTGTGGCCAGGAGTCCTGAGACACCCACCCCTCATCTCCACGCCCACCAGGCCACCCATACTCATTCCTTCACACACCTGCCTGCTCGCTGCTTCTCCCAACCCTACTGTGGCAGCAGGTGCCACCCACAGCATCACCTTGCCTCTGTTCCACCCAGGCCTCCTTGGTATTCCCAGTTCACCTGCTGGTCATGTTTGGGCCCAGAACACAATTTGTGATGGCCACTGTGTCCCGAGCCTCCTATTCCACAGAGAACGGCTCCATCTTTGCTTCCGATGTCTCAGGCCCTGAATGCTACTGAAGAGGTGCCTGTGTGTGTTCCCGGGTTCGGCAGCCAGCACTCTGCTGTCCAGAGCTGGCCAGTAGAAGCAGGTGGACGCTCTGTGTGGCAGGTTTTCCCCCACAGGAAGCTGAGCAATGACCCGACTGCTGTGAGAAACGTGGTCAGGAAGAGGAAGGAGAGTAATGTCCTGCCCATGAGGTCAGCCCCACCCTTCCCAGCTCCTACGAATGTCCTTCCTCCAACAGACCCCAACACAGGCGAACTGTGTTCTTCCACGGAGAGAGAGAGGTGGGGGAGGCAGCCGAGCCGTGAGCTCATGAGGTCACTTTCCCACTCTGTCTTACCAGGAGAAGCCCCCTCCTCTCCTCACCGGGGACACACTGAGAAAGGAAATATACTTTTTCTTTAGGCAGGAAATCTAGGAAACCAGTCACCCTAAGGCTAAAAACCAATATGGCTCACAACAAAGTAATTCTAGAAACTTCTTGAATCCCTTCAGTGTACCTCCAATTTCCCATGGTGGCTGTGAGTTACCAACAATCCTCTAAACCTCATGAATAGAAAGACTGTCCCCACCCACCCTGCACAGCGTCCATTTGCTTCTTTGTCATCTCTTAGGACCTAATGTGGCTCTGGGCACATGCGAACACTAGGCAAATGCCAATTGATGGGACATGTGTCCAGCTGCAGTTATATGGTTGTCCACTGTGACGACAAGCACTAAGCCACTGGCATTAAGGACTTCCGTCTCTGTAACAAATACTTGGCCTCCTGCTATGACTTCAGGAAGGAGTTGCTAGGACAAGGGTGGGGCCCTGTGGGGAGTATTTCCTCACCAGTCCTGATGTTTGCGTCTGTCTTTCTGGGGCCCCCCTCCCCGAGAGCTCCTGGACTCTACCCAGCCCCTGTCATGCACTGCTCCTTCGGGCAGGAATCAAGAGTCAGGTCGGCAAGAGTTTGAGGGAAAACCAGAAAAACACAGCCACACTCTTTTGCTCATCCTGCCCACAGGTGGCCTGTGTTTTTGCTTTACTTCCTAATGCCTTGAGTTGACACATGCAAGCTCTGAGCCTGTGTGGGAAGAGCTGCCCCAGTTCAGCCTGCTGGGTTGGAAGGCTCCTGATCAGAGTTCGTACGTGGACGCCCAACTGCCCACAGAACAAACACATGACCTCTAAGTCAGTACTGAAGTTCAGTCTCCACTTGCCTTACTTCTGTTTCCAACTCTCCAAGTGGTTCAAACCCTGGGTTGGAGGAAAAGGTCTCTGTTGCTCTTACCTAAAGTCCCAACATCTGGCAGACTATCTCCTGGACATGGCATTTAAAGAACAAAATAACTCCTGAAGAGGGAGGCTTCTGGCCCAGGCTGGACTGTAAACGTGAGCCATCTGTCTTACCTTGGTGATTTATGGCAAACTGTTTGATGCCACAGTTAGCTTTTATAGCCCAGAGCTGGTTTTGCCATGGCCTGGTGAGCAGCTCTGGTGCAATTTTGCTTTGGTAACTGGCTCAGGTAGCGCAGTCTTGCCACCACCAAGTGGCTCTTTTATGTGTCAGGCATGCAGGCATGAGGCTGGGACAAGCAGGACGAGGCCTCACACCACAAGCAGATGGTGGGCAGCCTCAGCAAGGGCAGCTTAGCCTGGTGGTGGAGTGGGGGTGGCTTTACAAGGCAGGTGACCATGGCTTGCCCTTGACCTCACAGGGCAGGGCTTCTGATGTGGTGAACTAAGGCAAAGAACCAACTATAGGAAAAGGAATTCTTGTTGTTTACAGGCCTTTTGGACATTGGGAAAGGAACAATATGGCAAGACAGCGAGTTCTGGGCATACCACAGAGTGAGGGCCTAGCTTTAAATTATTACTGCCAGGCTTAGCCACAGCACTTGATTAGCTATGCACATTCCATTCTGCACTCAAGGCCAAGAGGACATTGAGGAGGGGCCAAATTCAGATCCAGATGGCTCCTCTGCAGGTTGCAGTCTCCCCATACCAGGGGGTCTCACGCTGGCTCTAGATCTCTGGGTTCTCTCCCTCTAATACCAGAGACTCAGCTATGCACGTGGCAATGGTCTCTGGATCAAAGGATCCCATTTAGCTTTGCAGAGCTCACTGTTTCAGGGGATGGAAAATAGAGCTTGCTTTCTAAATTTGGAGGATATGAAGTCAATGGTATATATATGGTTCTCAATATAAAGAACAAGGAGAAAATTCAAAATTTAATTTTTTTTTTAATGGAAGAAAGTGAAAAGAAAAGATGAGGCATAATCATTTCTCTAAGTGCTAACCATGGCATGGGCTAAATTGTTCTGAAATGGATGTTGTACAAATTCACCCAGGCCCTTCACAAACTCCCACATGCCTGTGTTTATGGTCCTCAGCGCTGGCGTTGTCCCACTCAGGAGAAGAGTTGGAGGAATACCCACAAGTGTGTGGCTACCACTCAAACAAATAAATCCCTGAAAAGTCCATTAGTAAGTTCATGTAGAATTCGGACTCTCATACATACAAGCATTAGTCTCTAGAGATGTTCATTAGCTCCCAAGAACATCTCCTCTGCCCCAGTGGTGGGAAAGGTACCCATCAAAGCTGCCCATCTAAGATGCCTTCTTGACAGTCACTGCATCTCTTCCAGCTGTAGCTCTTCCCTTCTGTTCTCTTTGAGGGTAAAAATCACCAATAGGTTATCTGTTCAGACCATCTTCATCTCTCCCCTCCCCTCCTCCACGCCCCTGCCTTCACAGCTCTGAAAGACGGCTCTGCCTAGTCCAATGGCTATTTATCAGTCGTTCAGAAATTTTGGAGCCAGACTTTCCATTTTTTTCTCCTTCACTCCAGGTATTCCCATCACTACCACCTCCACCCAACTTTCTCACTTCTTAGTCTCTCATATGACACACGCTTTTCTCCATCTCCACCCTGGGCATCCTTCATCTGTGCTAGTTTAATGGTCTTGTAAATGTTCTCCTGGAAGGAGCAGAGCTATCTCATCACCATCTTCCAAATTGCAAATGCGATGTCACCCCACCCTCACCCCAGCCACTGAAGACTCTTGCGTGCCTGTTCATTTCTTCTAGGGTAGGACTCAACAGCTCTAACCTGGCCTCTGATGTCCCCCATATCCCAATCCCTGCCTCCTTGTTAACCTTATAGTCCTTCTCCCCTGAACCCCTCCAGACCTGTGACTCTTTTCTGTTTTCCCAGGGCTCCTCCCCCTCCATGTTGCTTTTCTGTCCCCACTGCAGCTACTGCTGATCTTCAAATCACAGCTCTGGCATTACCACCCCAGATGTGGCCTGCATTTTTTCCTTTTAGCATTTATAATTTATAATGGCTACTTCCCTCTAGCTGTCTCCCTTACAGTGTAGCCTATAGTAGTGATGATAAGGGGCATGTGTCTCTTGTGCCCACATCAAGTTCTTAGAGCCTAGATAGATGCCTGAGTACAGACTCAATGAACACTTGTTGAAGGAATGAATAAATAACTATCATGCACTGGGGACTTTAGTATAATTAGTGTAGAAGATATTTCTGTCATCGTTGTTGTAATTTTTTAAAAAATATGGTATTGTTCATAATTAGACATGAAGTCCTGGTAAAGAAAACAACCCATTATTATCAAATCATTCCCATGGGGAAACATGATGTGTTTTATGATACTGCTTTATTTTATGGGTTCTTCAAAGGCAGCACTATGGTGAAAAGTGAGATGCTCATATTTCTGTCCTACTTGGACTGAACTCTCAGACTTTTGTTCTTAGAAATGCTGGACTGGCGAACACAGTCATGAAGCTCAAGAAATTTAATGACCAAATAATTCATGGCAGCTAAATATTCATTATAAGATTAAAACATAGATTAAAATATATTTTAAAAATCACTAAGCTTGTACCTTATTAAGAACATATCAACTTAGAAATAAAGGCCAAACATTTTACTTAAAATACTATGAAAATGACTTGTACTTATCTCTATATCAAAGGAAGTCAAAACTATGTTATGTTACTATGTATTTCATATTGTTGTTGTAGAAAATTATTCATTGGTATTTTTGTCTTTTCATTTTTTCCAGGTATTTATTACTTATTTTTTTCAGAAATAAATGGTGAGAAGTTTAGACTGATTGCCAATGTATAGTTAATTGGTATTCAGAGATTTCGGGTTTTAAAAACTACAATATCAACAATAAACTAATATGATGAAACCCAGGCTCTTCAGCCACATTGAACAGGCACCTGGAAAGGTTTTGCCTTTAATGCCTATATTCATTGGTGCATGCATGGTTAGAACCAAATTTCAAACAAGACCTCAGCATTTGGCAGTTGGAAAGAAACTTCTGCTTTAGCAAAACCTTTGTTATTGGCAATTCTACCCTGAAATTTGAACCTATAAAATTTCAGAACTCTACATCAGATTGTACAGAACCTTAAGCCACAGAATATGCCAACATCTCTCTTTCTTTCTTTTAAATAGAGTATGTGGATTAATTACAAGGCGCTGATTGACTAGGATTAGCCTTTATCCCTGCCTGCATAAAATTAATTCCTACCACTTACATCAATTAGACAGGGTGAAGATGGGCAATTCAGGTTGAACCTAACATAAAACTTCTGTTTTTGAGCATCTGAAGTTGAGGTGGATCTGTTAAGAATTCCTGTTTGTGTATGGAGAGCTATTTTGATAGCACAAGGAGTTTGACTTTCCTCTTCATTTTGTAAAACCACTGAAGCTTACCCAAGTGCTGGTAAATTAATTCTTCATTGGGAATAGTTTTAAAACACTTGGCTTACAGAAAGTGGAAAATCATATTTATCTCTGTGTGTGTGTGGGGGGGGGTGGTTTTGGGGATACAACTCAGGTTCTCACGTATGCTGAGCATTCCTAGCCCCCCATTTTTACTTTTTTGTTTTGGACCACATTTTGTCTTTATGCATCAGATAATACTCATACTAACATTTGAAACAAATACTAGTTGTATTAAAGACAAGGAAGTGAATTGAAAAGCCCTTCTATGACTTTCTACTTTACTCTTGCTTAAAATATTTGCTACTACAGATTTTAATAAATGGCTAATTGGCTACTTGGCTTTTCTAATGAACAGAATTTGGGCAATCCCAAATATGAGTCCCTTTTTATCGGGTAAACTCCTCCTTGACAGGCCCTTCTTTTGGCATCTGTCCCTAATTCCTGATGCCCTTTGAGGTCTCCCTCCTGCTCTTTTCTCTTCTACTACAGCTAATGGCTCTCAAGTGAAGTCCCCAGACCGGAAGGTGGCAAGGACACTATTGCACATATATTAATGGCTGTAGTTATTTCTACTAACAAAGTTATATAAAAGATAGTATTGCAACAAGCCATCTAGGGATTAAGCACACTAATCAGTTATGTTTCAAGTTAGATGGAAAATAGACCTCAGACATCAGATTTCAGAATTTAGAATTTCTGTACCAATACAGACAGCATTCTACATAAGGGCCAAGTGCCAGGTGTTGTGAAGAGCACAGGTGGGTCCCCCATCCCACAGTATGGAGTCTGATCTTGTATATTTTCTTTGGGATCATACTTTGTATTATAGCAACTTTATTTTTACTATTTTTAAGTTTTTCAACTCATTTATATTTCTTTTGTATTTGATCATTATATCTTTAGGACATGTTTGTATAGTTTTATTTTTGCTATTTAGTTTCATCTTCTTAGATTTAAATAATCCTTAGTGCTTATTCATCCACTAAAAAAAAGAAGTTTTAATTATTATTAAGGAGGTTAAAATCAAACTGTCTTAGGAAGGGGATGACAGAGAGACTCCCTGCACATATTATAAGTATGAAAACCTGAAAGATGAGGTCTGCCTCTGCCAACCCTCCACCCTGCACTGGAGACAGTCACACACTTGGTGTGTGACAGACCTGGCTGTGAGTCTTGATTCTTCTCCATATGGCCTTAAGTAAGTTTCTGAATCCTCCAAGTTTGCCCACGGTGGACCACTAAATGGTACAAATGGAGAGAGACTGAAGGGGACAAGGAGGAGGACCAGAAGACCTCACTCAGGTGCTGTTAGGATAGGGTGGTTAAGGAAAAATGGTCAAGTTCACACAAAGAAATTCCCCTACACTGGCACACACACCGAGCTCCCAAATTGTTGCCTGAAGTTATTCACTATTTCTCATTTAGCCCACGACGTCAATTTGCGTGAAAGTTTGGAGTTTACCACTACATTTTCAAGCACCAAACCATGCCCAACTTCTGTGCACCTCTCCTAGAAAACAGCAGAGGTATAATCTGGCATTATGCAACTTGAAACAAAAGTGAGGCCCAGATGCCATGAATGGAGCCCTACAATGATTGACAGCAATCACTGGAACCTGACTGGCTCTCTGCTCTTCATTCCTAGGTGCACTCTGCCAATTCTCTGGCAGCAGGCTGATTATGAGAGAGTCAGGGAAGAGAGGTTAGGCTCTGAGCTCATCATCATTAAAGTAAAACAACAACTTTCCAAATTCCTCAACAGATGAGGATCGGTCTGCCTAAGTGAACTTTCTGATAACTTTGGGGTTAACCATATAAACTTCTTTCAACTCTTATTAATTCTTTTTTTCCCTACTAAACTGGGTCAAGCAAGTTCCCACCTCAATATGTAAGTACAGTATCCAAACTATAATTTAACCTTCCTGTGATGATTCAGACTCATCCCTTTGTTCTGCCTCAGGGTCAACTCCATGAACAATGAGCCCGACTCTGGACTCCAGGAAGACAGGTGTGGGAGCAGAGTTCAATGAAGACTGATAGGAGGACACACATCAAAAGGTTTCTCTTCTTTCCTCAAATAAATTCCTCCTGTTTGGTACTGTGAGAGGGTGATGGGGAGGAGGGTTAGACATTCTGTTATAGGTGGAGTTGGGGGGGGGAATAACACTTTAAGGGCTTTGGCTTACTTAAGTTTTACTCTATGATAGGAGTGTGTATCGAGTGAGCAGTTGGTGTTCTTGGATATATTTAGGCATGGGATAGCATGCATTGGCTACAGACAGGCAGAAGAAAACAATCTTGGTCTACCAGGATCATTTAAGCCCTTAGGGGATCCTCCCATAACTGGGATGGGCCTGAGTTTGCTATAGGTCCGCAGAGGTCACAAATCACACAGAATGTTTTAAAATGATGCAGTACCAGAGACTCTGCATATGCTTGAAGATAACAAAAGTCTTCTAACAGAATGGGGTTTACCTTAAATATTTTTTTTGGAACCCGTATTCATGATGATTTGTACTTTTAGAAAGGGTGTGTGAGGCTAATTTTCTGTGGCATCAGGACTACAGATAAATGCCAAATTCCTATTCCCAGACCTAAATTATGTAATCAAAAATAAAGCATCTGACCTGCATATCAAATAGTCTCACTTTCTGGCAGATTATGAAAAAAAATCAGTTTCAATGTTTGAAGTCAGCATTTGTATATATAATGCAACCAACCGTGACTGCCAAACACAATAATTAAATGCTTTAACAAGTGAGAAATCTTGCCAGAATATGTAATTTGAGGGGTAAAATAAGCAAAGAGCTGATACGCAACAGAAAAGCCTGAAGTATTTAATTCAGCCAAGGGTCTACCTGCAGAAACAAAGAAAATAAGATCAGCCAAAGAGGCTGGTTATTTATTTACTACATTTTCCTTTTTATCTATAAATGGTGCTTTTTCTTCCCACCCAAACTTGAAAACCGAGGCCAC